TTGGTAGTGTGGATGTTTTGGTAGAGTGGGTGTTAGTGGTGTGGGTGTTAGTAGTGGGTGTTGGTTGTGTAGTTATTGGTAGTGGCGGGTGTTGGTAGTGTGGGTGTTGGTGAGTGTGGGTGTTAGTAGTGTGGGTGTTAGTAGTGTGGGTTTATTTGGTAGTGTGGGTGTTGGTTGTGTGGGTGTAGGTAGTGTGGGTGTTAGTAGTGTGGGTGTTGGTAGTGTAGGTGTTGGTAGTGTGGGTGTTGGTAGTGTGGGTGTTGGTAGTGTGGGTGTTGGTAGTGTGGGTGTTTGAGGTAGAGTGGGTGTTAGTAGTGTGGGTGCTAGTAGTGTGGGTGTTGGTGGTGTGGATGTTAGTAGTGTGAGTGTTGGTAATGTGGGTGTTAGTAGTGTGGGTGTTAGTAGATGTGGATGTTGGTAGAGTGGGTGTTAGTAGTGTGGGTGCTGGTAGTGTGGGTGTTGGTAGTGTGGATGTTTGGTAGAGTGGGTGTTAGTAGTGTGGGTGTTAGTAGTGTGGGTGTTAGTTTGTGTGGTTATTGGTAGTGTGGGTGTTAGTAGTGTAGGTGTTGGTGGTGTGGGTGTTAGTAGTGTGGGTGTTAGTAGTGTGGGTTGTTGTTGGTGAATTGTGGGTGTTGGTTGTGTGGGTGTGGTAGTGTGGGTGTTGGTAGCGTGGGTGTTGGTAGTGTGGGTGTAGGTATTGTAGATTGTTAGTAGTGTGGGTGTTGGTAGTGTGGGTGTTGGTGGTGTGGGTGTTGTTGGAAGTGTTGGTGTTGGTAGCATGGGTGTTTTGGTAGGAGTGGGTGTTAGTGGGTGTATGGGTGCTGGTGGTGTGGGTGTTGGTAGTGTGGGTGTTGGTAGTGTGGGTGTTATGTAGTGTGGGTGTTAGTAGTGTGGGTTGTTGGTAGTGTAGGTGTTGGTTGTGGGGGTATTGGTAGTTGGGTGTTGGTAGCGTGGGTGTTGGTGGTGTGGGTGTAGGTAGTGTGGGTGTTAGTGGTGTGGGTGTTGGTAGTGTGGGTGTTGATAGTGTGGGTGTTGGTAGTGTGGGTGTTGGTGAGTGTGGGTGTTGGTGTGTAGATTTTAGCAGTGTGGGTGTTGGTAGTGTGGGTGTTAGTAGTGTAGGTGTTGGTAGTGTGGGTGTTAGTAGTGTGGGGTTGGTAGTGTGGGTGTTGGTATTATAGGTGTTAGTAGTGTGGGTGTTTGTAGTGTGGGTGTTGTGAGTGTGGGTGTTGGTATTATAGGTGTTAGTAGTGTGGTGTAGGTACTGTGGGTGTTAGTATTATGGGTGTTAGTAGTGTGGGTGTTGGTAATGTGGGTATTAGTAGTGTGGGTGTTTTTAGTGTGTGGGTGCTTAGGTAATGTGGGAGTTAGTAGTGTCGGTGTTGGTAGTGTGGGTGTTGGTGGTGTGGGTGTTGGTGAGTGTGGGTGTTTGGTAGAGTGGGTGTTAGTAGTGTAGGTCCTGGTAGTGTGGGTGTTGGTAGTGTGGATGTTAATAGTGTGAGTGTTGGTGAGTGTGGGTGTTAGTAGTGTGGGTGTTAGTAGTGTGGATGTTGGTAGTGTGGGTGTGGTATTATGGGTGTTAGTAGTGTGGGTGTTGGTGGTGTGTGGGTGTTTGGTAGAGTGGGTGTTAGTTGTGTAGGTGCTGGTAGTGTGGGTGTTGGTAGTGTGGATGTTAGTAGTGTGGGTGTTGGTAGTGTGTGGGTGTTAGTAGTGTGGGTGTTGGTAGTGTGTGGGTGTTGGTGGTGTGGGTGTTTGGTAGAGTGGGTGTTAGTAGTGTGGGTGTTGGTATTATAGATTGTTAGTGTGAGTGTAGGTGTTGGTGAGTGTGGGTGTTAATAGTGTGGAGTGTTGGTAGTGTGGGTGTTTGGTGTTAGAGTAGGTGTTAGTAGTGTGGATGTTGGTATTATGGGTGTGTTAGTAGTGTGGGTGTTGTTAGTTTGTGTGTTTGGGAGGTGGGTATTAGTAGTGTGGGTGCTGGTAGAGTGGGTGTTGGCTGGTGTGGATGTTAGCAGTGTGGGTGTTGGTAGTGTAAGATTGTTAGTATTATGGGTGTTAGTAGTGTGTGGGGTTTTGGTAGTGTGGTGTAGGTACTGTGGGTGTTAGTAGTGTGGGTGTTGTTGGTGGGGGTTATGAGTAATTGGTGTGGGTGTGTAGGTAGTGTGGAAGGTTGTGAGTGTGGGTGTTGGTAGTGTATGCTGGGTGTTGGTTGTGTGGGTGTTGGTATTGTGGGTGTTGTTGGTAGTGGGGGTTATGGTGGTGTGGGTGTAGGTAGTGTGGGGGTTATTGGTGTGGGTATTGGTAGTGTGGGTGTTTATAGTGTGGGTGTTGGTGGTGTGGGTGCTGATAGAATGGGTGTTGGTTGTGTGGGTGTTGGTAGTGTGGGTGTTGGTAGTGTGGGTGTTGGTTGTGTGCGTGTAGGTAGTGTGGGTCTTGGTATTATGGGTGTTAGTAGTGTGGGTGTTGGTAGCGTAGGTATTAGTAGTGTGGGTGTTAGTATTATGGGTGTTAGTAGTGTGGGTGTTGGAATTATGGGTGTTAGTAGTGTGGGTGTTGGTACTGTGGGTATTAGTAGTGTGGGTGTTGGTGTTGTGGGTGTTAGTAATGTGAGTGTTAGTAGTGTTGGTGTGTTGGTAGTGTGGGTGTTTGTGGTGTGGGTCTTGGTGGTGTGGGTGTTAGTAATGTTAGTGTGTTGGTAGTGTGGAAGTTGGTGGTGTGGATTTTGGTAATGTGGGTGTAGGTAGTGTGGATGTTGGTAGTGTGGGTGTTAGTATTGTGGGTGTTAGTAGTGTGGGTGTTGGTAGTGTGGGTGTTGGTAGTGTGTGTGTTGGTAGTGTGGGTGTTGGTGGTGTGGGTGTTAGTATTATAGGTGTTAGTAGTGTGCTCGTTGGTAGTGTGGGTGTATGTAGTGTGGGTGTTGGTATTAGGGTGTTAGTAGTGTGGGTGTTGGTAGTGTGGGTATTAGTAGTGTGGGTGTTGTTAGTCTGGGTGTAGGTTGTGTGGGTTGTTGGTAGTGTGGGTGTAGGTAGTGTGGGTGTTGGTAGTGTGGGTGTTGGTAGTGTGGTGTTAGTAGTGTGGGTTTTGTAGTGTGGGTGCTTGTAGTATGGGTGTTGGTAGTGTGGGTGTTGGTAATGTGGGTGTTGGTAGTGTGTGTGTTGGTAGTGTGTGTGTTGGTAGTGTGGGTGTTGGTAGTGTGGGTGTTGGTAGTGTGTATAAAGGTTAGTGTGATGTTGGTAGTGTGGGTGTTTGTGTTGCGGGTGTAGGTAGTGTGGGTGTTGGTAGTGTGGGTGTTGGTAGTGTGGGTGTTGGTAGTGTGGGTGTTGGTAGTTTGGGCAAGGCCACCTTCACAACACAGGCATGGAGAGCGGAGGAGTATCACAAGTTCTCATTAATTACAAAGACTTTGGCGGTATTGTATGATGGTATGAAGACCCTGAGTTTTAACCAAACATGTTAACTCTGGCACCCGTTTTATGACTGACAGTGAATCTAAATTAAATGTAACCTTCCTTTCCTCTCAAATTAGAGGTAAATACTAAGTAGAATAATAGCTAAGTTAAGAATATCTGACCCGGGCAGTGAAATAACTACACTTACAGTTTAGGATAAATTGAGGACAGTTGGAGGAGAAAAATTCTTCTCAAAAGACATTCCACAAAATACTGTACTGTAGGTCACGAAAACGCATCTGCTTTTTGTTTTCGTGGTTTATTGAAAATTAGTCTTGTGTGTAAAATACTCGACATACCCGGGTGTGTGCACAACTTGGTTTTTTTTTTTTTTTGAGAGTTAGATGTACATGAAAACAGTGCTCTTGATCTTCATGTAACGCATAACATATTTCAAGAGAGTGTAGGTAAGGCACTGACAAACATATATTTTTATTTACTCATTTCAATTAATATTAAGTAAATTTGAAAGGATTTAATAATGCTATTGACATATGAAGCGTCAAATCTTCTATATAAAAAAAAATATATATTTCTCAATTTACATATTGATTTGCCTCTGACTAATATGATAGGCACTGCCTTGATCACTGTTACTGTGGCGTGTTTGCAGGCCATCACCTACCTGACCGTCCATAACCTTGTCACAATCTTGAAGTCGTAGAATTAATCGGTCAAATTTGTTGAAAATTTCTCTAAATGATCCTTTGATAGTTTTCTTTTAAACTGTGTTTAATTGCATGTGCCAATAGACATGGCTGCCATCTTTAAAACACAAAAGAATTTTAAGCATCTTTTTGGCTGATACTTCAGACTCAGTTTAGTTGAAACTTGTAGGAATATTTATTGTATAGTCTAAAATCTTCATTTAAAACTGATTTTGATGACAGCGTTGTTTTCATGATGGAAGTTAAAGTTCTATGGTTCATTCTGTTCGAAGACACGGAGTGTGAAGTCTGTACCTCAGTGAGTCGTTATGTTCCTCCTAATATCTGCTTTAGCGCTAGTACCATGATTAAAAATATAGAGTGCTTCATTTTTATCTCTATTTTATGAACAGTACATACAGGGTGATTCAGCAATGAGTACATAAAATTGGAGGATGAAATCCTTGGATAATTCGTAACCACAATGTCAGATTCTGCTATGCCCACGTGTTCGTTACAGGTGCGAGCAAATTAACCATACCTGTAGTCCAGGCATTCTGGAACGCGTCAGACAATCAATGGTACGACGTGTACAGGTCTGCATTGAGGCAGAAGGGGGCAACTTTGAACATTTCCTTTAGGTTGTAACAAAGAGAGGTCACACTGTAGAGACCTGTGAATAAATTATTTCAAAAACTTACGGTGGTTTCACTTCAAATTCACTCTCATTAATACAACATCTTAAATGTATTGTAACATGGAAACTATGCAGAATCTGATATTTTACCATAGAGACATTGTGGTTTAGAATTATCCAAGGATTTCATCCTCCAATTTAATGTACTCATTGCTGAATCACCCTGTATAAAGACACAACAAAACAGAGCCCCAGCTTTCCCCTTCAGCTGTTATGACAGCACTGGTGTGCCTCTGTATGACCCAGCTTTCTCCTGCAGCTGTTATGACAGCACAGGTGTGCCCCTGTATGATCCAGCTGCCTCCTGCAGCTGTTATGACAGCACTGATGTGCCCCTGTATGACCCAGCTATCTCCTGCATCTGTTATGACAGCACTGGTGAGCCCCTGCATGGCCCAGCTGTCTCCTGCAGCTGTTATGACAGCACTGGTGAGCCCCTGCATGGCCCAGCTGTCTCCTGCAGCTGTTATGACAGCACTGATGTGCCCCTGTATGACCCAGCTATCTCCTGCATCTGTTATGACAGCGCTGGTGAGCCCCTGTATGACCCAGCTGTCTCCTGCAGCTGTTATGACAGCACTGGTGAGCCCCTGCATGGCCCAGCTGTCTCCTGAAGCTGTTATGACAGCGCTGGTGAGCCCCTGTATGACCCAGCTGTCTCCTGCAGCTGTTATGACAGCACTGGTGAGCCCCTGTATGACCCAGCTGTCTCCTGCAGCTGTTATGACGGCTGGAAAAATGTATTGTGCAGCTGATGACAGCACTGGTGAGCCCCTGCATGGCCCAGCTGTCTCCTGAAGCTGTTATGACAGCGCTGGTGAGCCCCTGTATGACCCAGCTGTCTCCTGCAGCTGTTATGACAGCACTGGTGAGCCCCTGTATGACCCAGCTGTCTCCTGCAGCTGTTATGACGGCTGGAAAAATGTATTTGGGAAATACTATTTTAACTGAATCTTAGGTAAAATAAATTATTTTTTTTATTCAAATCCAAGAATTTTTTCTAGGGAAGCTGCGGTAAGTTTCACAATAATAACGAATTTTGGAAAATATTAAACCCTAATGAAAAAAGTGGCAATTAAAATGGAACAAACCTTTGCTTATCTACATACGCCGATAAGCATTTGTATTACAATGTAAAAGTTTATCTACGTATATGGTGTCATATTGTGTATCCGGGTCAGTAGAACGAGGTCACAGGTCACGTTGTAATATAAAAAAGATGAGGGTGTGAGGCCAGGCCAGTATATCACTGAATCCGGGGTCACTTATCCCTAACACTTGGTAGGTCAGAAGATCAGAAAGGCACTGTAGCAAGGTCAGGGGTGAGGGGTCACAGACAGGATGAAGGTGTTAGAGGTTAGAAATGAAATAGAATCAGGGATGTGTTGGTGGAGTCGGAGATCATACGTGTCAGGTCAGAGAAGGTCGTAGAGTGTCAGCATCAAACAAACACGAGGAACATGTTGTAGCTGACTGGCTGGTAGCTGTTGTGTGAATGGCCGCCGATAAATTCATCAAATCGTATCTCTCTCTCTTTCTCTCTCTCGTACACTCTCACTCTTTCTACTTTTTTGTGTATGTGAGACACGGGCCATCCATTACACCTGTCCACCATCAATGAGCAGTAGAACAGTGCGCCACTCACCATGATATTTTGGCCGAATTACGACAAAATGAGACTTGTGAGGAGAGGAAAGGTTCCCCTTCCTTTACCGCCCTCCTTCCCCCCTCCTACCGTCATTTCCCACCCCGTATTTCCCATAACCCCCGCCACATTGATTAAAAGGACAAAGCAATAAAACACAGGTACAGTTCACCAGGCTGACATGACAGAGGAGGGATGTAAAGTATACTATTTCAATATATGAGATTAGGCAAAACTGTACCTCAATCCAGTCATAAAGCTGTTAAACTACCTAGGGGATGAATGAGAGGTGGAGAATGGCTGGCAGTAAGGAGAAACAGTGTACAGTAAGGGTTCTTATGTTACAGCATGTTTGTCACTTACAAATTTATGGTTCATTTACAAACATTTTGTATTAATTTAGTATAATTTAGGTTAGATACATATGGCCCCAGGCAGGAGGAGGGTGGAGGTAAGGCACGGCTGGGTGGAGGTGATGACCGCTCAGGAAAGAGAGCGACGTTTTTCATTTGGGTGACAGACTGCTACTTCAATTGGGAGACAAGACACTGGTAAGTGAAAGGTCATCCTTCATTTGGGCGAAAACAGTATACAGTAGGTGGTCACAAATAGTATATTTAAGATGTTCATGAGTGTCTTGGTAAAATTTATGTAAAAACAAAGGTGGTTTTTTTTTTACTAGTGAATGATGAAAAAAAATCAGACTTTGTTGAGGTCATGCTGAAAGATATTTCAGACTACAGACTGCCTTTGCGGACTATATAGTTGAGAATTATGTGACAGACGACCATCTACATTAAAATCAGGGGAATGAATACTGCTGCAGCTGTAAGACGACTTGGGGAAGAACAGATGTAATTTTTACTGGAGCAGTACCGAAAGTATGAAAAGGAGGACATTACTCGGGTGCAGTATATTAGGCCAGTTGGCTGCAAATTTACATAACACTCCATATTTTAGATTTTTTTTTTATATAATTTTATGACATCAATTTATTGTATATGTTTTAAGTTTGCAATTTGTAAAATCGACAAAGACAATTTGCATAACGGTTCTAATTCTAAAATATGTAATAAATTGTTCAGGACCCATATTTTCTGAAAAAATCCCATGAGATATTTACGAATTAAGGAAAAAATGTATTGTATGTCTTGTGTACTCAAGTTCTGACAGCCTTTAACCTAATGTATTGAAGATTATATTATTAATGAGACTGCTACAAAATGTTAATAATGGGTAATGAACATGAAGTGCCTCGGGAAAGAGGGAAGTAACACTTACGATTGTGGACCTGCTCGAAGATTAGACGCGGTTGTGCCAGCCCCGACTCACACACACATACAGAGCCCATACCACCCAACACTACTGAAAGCCACCCCGAGACTGACTTTTCAAATTTCCACGTAAGTAGCTCATCCTGGTCCTGGAAATTGTCCCAGCCAATCATAGAGCACATAAGACGCAGCCTATGACGTTAAGCACTGTAGTTGGCCACCTTAGTGCGAGGGGAGGGGTTTAGGTTTGACGTTATAATGTTATTATTGCACTTCAGCAACTAAGATCTACAAGGGCGTAACAATGTTAGCAATTGCCATGCACTAGACCATCAACAATTAAGAGTTATGAGAGATAGAACTCTCTGTTGGGCAAGGTTAAAACACCGCCTTTACCTTCTACATCTATGTGATGACACTCTTGTTGTCAACAAGGTAGAATTCCCTTCAACCAAGCAGTAGCTGGCCCAGTCATGGATGGCTGTAATCTGCCTCAGACAGGTTCCATGAACTCACAGGTCGATGGATCAGGGGGTACGTGGCGGCATGAGTGGGCGTGCGTGCGCGTATGATTTCAGGTATTGTATGACAAGAGGGTGAAGGAGACGAGCGCTACCGTCTCCTCAGCTGGAAATACCTCCTGGAAATTTGGCCCATGGGAAGTGTGGTGGGCTGTACGATGGTGTTTTTGTAGGAGGAGAGGGAGGATCCTCTTGCCCTTCCCCTCCTCCACCAAGGTAACTCTGGCCTCGTGGTGGTTGGGTGTGAAGGATGACGAAGCCAGCTCATACAAACTCTGGGGTTGAAGGCTGTAGAGCCCCTTACAGAGTTTGTTTAAACTTGGTCAGTGACATCCCTTTGGCCGAACCAGTAGGGCTCAGGAGGAGAAGCAGTTGGGCCCCTGAGCACAAGCCCTTCCCCCCTTGACCCTGAGACGTGAGCAGTCATACTGATTACTGATAGTTTTTTGTTTCACTTTCTGCCTTACTGTATATGTATATATATATATATATATATATATATATATATATATATATATATATATATATATATATATATATATATATATATATATACATATATATATCATTTATTTATTTTTATTTATATATTACACTAAATGGGGATAATTGCCTAATAGCGATATCGTCTATGCATCCATCTTATCACTATACTAGTAGACGACTCCCAGAAAGCATATAAACAAGGTTTATTTATCTATTCCTTTTTTGTGTTGTTTATTGTATATCTATTTAGTCATTAGAGTATGAATTTTAACGTCTACTTTTCCTTCTTTGGATGAACACAATCTCTTACTATTTTTCTTTGCATATTTATTTAACTACAGCATATTTTTATCCAAGTAAATCTACTGTCGACACACCCCAGTTACCTGGGAGTTTTACAGTATAATGTACAGGTCAAGGTGTGGGTATCTCCAACACTCAAATGTTAAGAGTCACAACAAAATATCAACGTTACAATGGAGGCGAGAGAATAATGATATAATTAAGATTGTGTTTGGTAAAGGCTGGACTGTTGTCAGGCGAGCTGTGGGTGGAACACCAACCTCAACTTTACTGAGTGCGACCTTTGACTGTGGTATACGCCCGCTAACACCTCCTCCCTTTATAAGTATGACATTTGATATCTTCGACATCGTGTTTGTGGCGCACAGGAGTACAGCTCAGGAATAACAGCCCAAATCCCGATCACAGTCATTCTCATACTCCTGATATATCAATCTGACCTTGAAGTCTAGGTTTATAATTCTCTTTTATTTCCTGATGCGTGACAATCAACCATTGAAACTTACATTGGCAATACATCTTTAAAAGTGTTTACCGAATAGTCTTTAGTGGTGAATGAGAAATTATTATTAAACTCCATTAACTTATCTCCGGGTTATTTTCATCATGCTCTCTCAAAGGTTCCTAATAAATATGGTACACATGCACACACGCGCTGGGAAAGAGACAAGTGGCCGCTAAGAAAAATATAAGTAACTATAAATAAAAGTAACCTTGTTATTTGAAGATTAACGATATGTCCAGTATGTTTTTACTTTTTGTCCAGGTTTTTCTAATTTTCTATGAAATGAAGATCATGAATCAACTTCTTTTATTTTCTTATCACCCTAAAAGTTATTAATTTATCGGTGGCACTAAGCCGAGTAAAAGATTGTACCGTCCATGAAAAATGTTCCAAGGCGTCGGAAATATTACGCTTCCGTAAGACTACTGTAGGTTGTATCATAAGAGAATGTGATCAGCATGAAATATACCATTGCAAGCAGAACTCGCCCTTCAACCATCAGGTCAGCTCCACCCCACCTGAGTGACCGCCCGACCATCTGCCGTTGACGTCCACTTCTCTCTTATCCTCACATTTCACTACGTCCCTCCTCACCCACTGTAACGACGACCCATCTAAACCTTGTCTGAACCTAAACTTAACCCAACCTATCCAAAATGAACCTAAAGCGGATGCAAACTTAAACCTAACCTAAACTCCTAAATCTACTGTAAATCCAGTGCACACTGAAGGAATCTGAATGTAAACCGTATGGCTGCCTAATAGAAACTAAAGTTAAATTTCTCTCAGGGATCTCCAACTTAGCTTTTAAAGGTGCGCGACGTACAGTATAGTCAGCCAAGTAATATTCGCGTCCTTCTAACTCAAAATGTTCTGTATCTGGGCGAGGAGTTCCACGTCCTTCTACCTACTAGGAGCCAGGGGCATAGGGAGCCCTGGTGAGGTTTGTATCCAGGCAATTCAGGCCGGAGGTCAAAGAGTATTTTAGTGGCTTTTTAGAAGCAACAGAGACAACAGGTCAAGGATTGGCAGACCTTATTCTGGAGAAACTCAAGAACTGGAAC